GTGACGGATAAAAATCAGGATTTCTCCGCTGGCGAGGTCCTTCCTGAGGAGCCAGGGGTCCCAGCCCCAGACCAGGCTCCTCAGCCCGGGGTTCCAGGGCCAGGAAAAGAAGTCCCCATAACTTCTGGCTGTGAAAGCCAGCAGGACTTTCTTGTGGCTGAGACAGAGGCTGCTGGAGTCCCAGGTGTTCCTCTTAAAGGGCCTGGTCTGGACTTACTCACCCACGCTGAGCCCCAGCTCTAGGGCAGCAGCTCAAAACGTGCCAGGAACATACAGGGAAGAACTGAATTACCTGGCATTAGGTGAGGGCTGGAGGGGCAGCTTTGTCCCAGACAGAAGTGCTGGCAGAGGCCATTGTTCCCTGATGAGCCCTCAGCCTGCAAGCACAGGTGGGCCTCGTATCTGAGTCTCCATCAGCCTGGCTAACACTGTTCACTCACCCTAGCGATTCCCTGAGACCCCGCCCCATCCAAGAGTTTACAGTGGCTTTTCCATGCAAATGCCCTGTCTTAGTTCAAACTGTCAACTTTTCTAAAATCTCTCAATGGCTCACAAACCACAAACAAGCAGCATTGGCCTGAGCATGCCCCACATCTCTTGCTAAGTAACCCCAGACCCGGCACTAGTGGCAGCCAGCCTGCGTTTGTAGCTTAGCCTCTCTGAGACACCTCTAAGCCCAGCACAAGTGGTACCATCTGCGGATCACTTTGTAGCTCATACCAGGTGGCCCCAGTCAGAGCAAAGGCAGCAGCTGACCTTGGCCTGCACCAGATTCCCTCCCAAAAAGCCCTGAACCAACGCACCCCAGGGCCAGCTTCAGATCATAACAGAGCATCACTTAACGACCTCCACAAATGACACACCCAAAGAGTGGAATTGGCAGGCACCAGCTAAAGTGAGTCAGCCTGCTCTCTGGTCAGCCCCTGCAGAAGGCTACTTTGTTATAGTCACACCCACTTCTCACAGCCAATCAGCTTAAGGGTCAGTCCCCCTCATTGGCATGCCAACAACAACCAAGACTCAACTACAACAGGAAGAAACATACAACACAAGGGACTCACCTGGAGCACCAGGCTTGAGTGGCTAGGGACTGCACCAATGGACTCCACAGGACACCTCCTACATAAGGCCTCTCTACCAAGACTGGGAGATGAAGAGGCTCTACTTAATACAAAAAAACAAACACAGGGAGGCAGCCAAAATGAGGAGACATGTCCCAAATGAAAGAATAGAACAACACTCCAGAAAAAGAATTAAACAAAGTGGAGACAAGCAATCTACCAGACACAGAGTTCAAAACATTGCTTATAAAGAAAAACAAAATAAACAATACACACATTAATTATAAGGCTGCTCAATGAACTCAGTGAGAACTTTAGCAAAGAGATAAAAAAAACAAAAAAATGAGATAGAAAATGTAAAAAAGAATCAGTCAGAAATTAAGAATACAATAACTGAAATGAAGAATACATTAGAGGGAATCGACAGTAGATTAGATGAAGCAGAGGATCAAATCAGTTATTTGGAAAAGAAGGTAGCAGAAAACACCCAATCAAAACAGGAAAAAGAAAGAGGAATCAAAAAATGTGAGGATAGTTTAAGGAGCCTCTGGGATAACATCAAGAATACCAACCATGGGGATTCCAGAAGGCAGTGAGAGAGAGCAAGGAATTAAAAACCTATTGGAAGAAATAATGGCAGCCAATCATTGTTTCTTTCCTAATCTGCTGTAGAAAATAGACATACAAGACTGGTAATAGCAAAGAGTCCCCAAAAAGATAATTAAAATGGCAAAGGTTAAAGACAACAAGAGAATCTTAAAGCAGCAAGAAAAAAGCGGTTAGTTACCCACAGAGAAGCTCCCATAAGATTGTCAGCTGATTTTTCAACAGAAATTTTGTAGGCCAGCAGGGAGTAGCATGGAATATTCAAAGTGTTGGAAACAACGACCTACAGCTAAGCTTACACTATCCAGCAAGGTTATCACTCAGAATCAAATGACAGATAAAGAGTTTCCCAGGCAAGAAAAAGAAAAAGCTTAGGGAGTTCATCACCATCAAACCTGTATTATAAAAATTGTTAAAGGCACTTCTCTAAGAAGACCCCCCCAAAAAATAAATAAATAAATAAATAAATACTCAGTGGATAGAGCATCAGCCTGCAGACTGAAGTGTCCCAAGTTCAATTTCAGTCAAGGGCACATGCCAGGGAAGTGGGCTCAAACCCCAGTAGGAGGTGTGCAGGAGGCAGCTGGTCAATGGTTTTATCTCTCTTTTCCTCTCCCACTCTAAAATTAATAAAAATATTTTTTAAAGAAAAGATAAAAAATATGGATAATAAAATGGCAATAATTAAATATCTATCAATAATTCTTTAAATGTAAATGGATTAAATGCTCCAATCAAAAGACATACGGCGGCTGAGTGGATAAGAAAACAAGACACATACATGTGCTGCCTACGAAAGACTCACTTCAGATCCAAATATACACAGACTGGAAGTAAAAGGATGGAAAAAGATATCTCATGCACATGGAAACCCAAGGAAAGCTGGAGTAGCAATAACTACATCACACGAAATGAACTTTAAAACAAAGATACAACAAGAGAGAAAAAAAGAACCCAGCAATTCCACTTCTGAAGAAACCCAAATACTAATTAAAAAAGACATACGCGCCCTGGCCAGTGTGGCTCAGTTGGTTGGAGTGTCGACCCGTACACAAAAGGTACTGAGTTTGTTTCCTGATCAGGGCACATACTCAGGTTAGGGTTCAATCGTGTGAGGGAAGTAGCCAATCAATGTTTTTTCTCTCTCTTTCCCTCCCTCTCTTTAAGATCAATTTTTTAAAGAAAGACATATGCATCCCTATGTTTATTGCAGCATTGTTTACAATAGCCAAGATATGAAAGTAATCTAAATGTCCATCATAGACTAATGGATAAAGAAGTGGTACGTATGTACAATGGAATGTTACTCAGCCATAAAAAGAAGAGTGAAATCTTGGCATCTGCGACAACATGGATGGACCTAGACGATTATGCTAAGGGAAATAAATCATATAGAGAAAGACTAATACCATATGATTGCACTTATATGTGAAATCTAAAAAACAAAATAAACAGAACAGAAACAAATTCATACATACAGAGAACATTTTGATGGTTGCCAGATGGGAGGTGGGTATAAAAGGGGAAGGGATTAAGATGTGCAAATTGCCAATTGTTAAAAACAGCCACAGGGATATAAAATGCAGCATAGGGAATCTATAGATATAAAAGGCTATTATGCAAAGTGTCTCTGTGGGAGTTCGACCAAAAGACTAGGAGTTCTATCGCTCACTACGACATCTACTGACCATCAGGGGGTGGCGAGGAATGAAGGAAGGCTCCAGCCAGCAGCTGGAAGACCCTGATCGGCCCTGGTTGCCAGCCAGACCTAGTTACCCTACCTGTGCATGAATTTCATGCAACAAGCCTCTAGTATGGTCAATAATCTATAATAATAAAAGTATAATATGCAAATCAACCGAACACTCGAAGAGCAGAACGACCATCTGGACAACCACGCTATGGCACACATGGCACCAGGCCAGCCAAGGCAGGTGTGATGTGATTGGCCGGGAAGTCTCACCATTGCGCCACGATTACCCCACAGAGGGAGGCCCAGGCCATTAACCAGTGAGCTTGGCAGATGGGCAAGGCCTCCCTCGGCGGGGCAATGGATCATATGGCTCCTGGACTTTGAGAGGGTACAGGCCGGGCTGAGGGACCCCACGCCAGGTGCAGGATGCATGGTGTCAGATGGGTCCTAGACTTATCCAGGTGATCACTTTGTAAGTTTTATAAATGTCTACTCACTATGTTGTACACCTGAAACTAATATAATGTTATATGAAAACTGTAATTAAAAAGTATAAAATTATTTAAAATAAGTAAAAATGACAATGGCAACAACAAAAAAAGATCTTTCTCTAGTAAAGGCCATTTCTTTTTTAAGAGTTCAGTAACATTCTGTGTGCCTTCCATGCATTGGTCTCTCTCTCTCTCTCACACACACACACACAAACACACACATACACACACACACACACACACACTCACACACACACAGCTTGGTGCAGTTGGAGAATCAGATGTATTTATGCCAAAACACCCTTCCCCTGATGCTTAAAAATAAAAGAAACAAAACCAATGCTTTCTTTGAAGAGACTCGTGTAGTCTTCCTTGGACAAATTCTTTCCATTAAGCTGTTCTTTCAACCACCCACCACCCCTTGCACAATCATAAAAGCCTTTTCCACGCTAAGAAGCGCCGACAAAGAGCTGCTGCTTAATGTCTGCACTTGCTTCCTCCGCCATCCCAGTGTTCCAGCTGTCGAAGCCTCGTATTTCTCCCTGCTCGCTGGTTTTCCGACAGACAGCCCCTGGCCACCCTGGCAAAGTGGCCTCCTCATTAGTATTCTCCTGCTCAGACAGGCGGCCACACAGGGGGCTTCCAGCCTCCCGGGAAGGCCTCAAGCTATCAATGCACGAGAGCTACGGCTCATTGGAGAAGTGCCTGCTGCGAGGGAAGTCCTCTGGCACAGGCAAGATCTCCCCTCCTCAGAACAAAGTGCCCCAGGAACCAGGCCATTCAGCTGCCCCGTGGCTCTGCCCACTGCCGTGCACTCACCTCCCTAGAATGGGCAGCAGGGAAGGTTCCAGCCCAGCCCCTGCCTCCCTGTTCAAATCAGGACTCCATGAGGCAGGCCTGGTGGAGAGCAAGGACCACTGACTGAGGGTCAGGGTCTGGATGGTGGGCTGGGCTCCGCTGCTGAGTTCCCTTTCAGACTTCCTGTCTTACCATCTATAAAATGGGGGCAACTGTCCCACCCTCATCTCTCCCCAGGTCAAAGGGAGAATGTGGATGAGAGATGGTGGCAAACGGTAGGCGAGGGAAGAGACGCCACACGTGCTGGAGGCCTCAGGACACAGTTCCCCTGCCCCAGCAGCCCGGGCTCACCTGTCCAAACACATAGAGTAGCCCGATGGTGCCTCCGGTCTGCCCGCCCAGGACCGAGGAGATCATGGAGTAGACGCCACCGCTGCCAACGCCACAGTGCATCCCGACTCCGATGCCAGACAGCACGGTGACGAGGGCCACCAGGATGACGAAGGACACCAGAAACATGCCCAGGAGCACTCCCGTGTTTCCCTGCAGAACAGCAAGAGCAAGGTCAGGGGTTAGGATAAAGAGGCCCCGCCAGATGCAGCCCCTCGAAGGAGCATTGACCACCTCTTTCCCCCACCCCCAGAGGTGGGGCAAGTGCCGTACCACCAGTAGTAAGGCCAGATGAAGGGAAATGTCCTTGCTTCAAATTCTTCAATGACTTCCCGTCATCCCCCATAAAGTCAAAGCTGATGAGGCCCCTCCTATTCTGTCCACTCTCCCCCTCCCCAGTCCCTCTCATCCCTTTGCCAACAACACCCCCCCATTCACTCTGTGCCCCAGTCTAGAGTCACGTGCTCTCTCCCCAGCACCCCTCACCATGCTGATCCCCTGCCTCGAATGCCTTTCCTGCTCATTTCCTCGCCAGGTTCCCTTCAGCACATCCTTTCAGACTCAGTGCGGAGGGGTTCCTCCTTCGGGAAGCTGTCCTGTCCCCCCCGCTCTGGGCAACCACAGCTCCACGACTTCGTGCTCATCACAGAGCTCATCACACCGAGCCTGTCTCCACGTCGGTCTTTCCCTCGGGGCTGTGAGCTCTGAGGGGGCAGGATTATGTTTTGTGCAGAGTTTCTCATTTTGCTGATTTTATATTTTTAATGAAATTATATCATTACTTTTTCCTGTGTGTGTGCTTTTATATTGTCTTCACGTGATAATAAATATCCTGCACCAATCTATAAGTTTCCATGACAAAACTACCATGTTAACATTTTCCAAATTATAAATATGCTGCCATATTATTCTTTAGTTACTGTTGTCTATTTAAAACATCAGTTGGGCATGACCTCTACCAGCTTTAATTATATGCCATCTCCTAGAAGCTCTCCCTGATTTTTGGCATCTCACATTTGCCTTTTCTTCCATGATCAAACATAATTTTTCAGGTAAAACTGATGTCAGAACTGAAGCATAGTTCACTTTATGGCAAAAGGATGTATTTGTGTGATAGACACCTCAAAGACAGCCCCAGTGATCCCCACCTACTGGCCCTACAGTCCCTGTGTAATAGCCTTATTTTGGGGATAGACCCAGTGACTCACTTTTAATGAACAGAATATTTCAGAAGTAATGGGATATCACTTCTGAGATGAGGATATAAAAAGACTGTGGCTTTGCCATGGCCAGTGTTGCTCAGTGATTAGAACATTGGCCCTCACACTAAAGGGTGGTAGGTTTGATTCCTGATCAAGGGCAAGTCCCTGGGTTGCAGGTTCAATCCCCCACCAGTCAGGGTGTGTGCAGGAGGCATCAATTGATGTGTCTCTCTCACACTCTCTCTTAGATTTCGGCCCTGGGGGAAGCAGGCTGCATGGAATGAGACAACCTTGTGAAGAGGCCCACAGGACAAGGCCTGTCAACAACTACACAAGTGATCTTGAAAATGGTCCTGCCCCAGGAACGCCTTCAGATGAGACTGCAGCCCTGACTGACAGCTCAACTATGACTCCATGACAGACTGAGCAGGAGGCACCAGCTCCTGAACAAAGAAGCTACAACATAACATAAATGACAGGATGACGTATTCGTTGCTCTAAGCTGCTAAGTGTTGGGGTAGTTAGTTATGCATCAATAGATGGTTAATACAACTTGTACTTTCACTTTGGGAATAGAACTGACACCTCTTGATAGCCAGTTCTCAAAAAAAAAAAAAAAATCCTGAGAGGGTTCAGGGGAGGCCCTTGGACATCAGAACAGAAAGAGGCTACCCTTCTCTCCTCTCACCATTCCAGAACCATCCCCTGCAGGAAGCAGAGTCCTGTACTCAGGCTGTCACTGGCCAGGCTTTACTCGGCCACAGTGGTCAGCTGATGGGCCTCCCTTGGACACAGGCTGGAGAGATGCTGGCAGTGAGGTGGCCCACAGGAAGGGGCACAAACAGAAGTCAACCCCAGAGGTCAACCCCTGAGACTGCCACCAGGATGACAAGTCTGACCTGGAGACTATTTTTGTAAGTGGGAGCCCCTGTAAGTTTGGGTCAGGGGTGAAGGGCATAAATTCTTAGCATCCACACCAGGGAAGTTGCTGACTCAGCCCTGAGCTTTCCACACATTAATAAAATAAAATAAAAATCTGATCCACACCGGATATGGTTAAGGTTGAACCCTGGGCCAAGAACTTTTGAAAAGGGTGCTTCTATTTTATTTTTAATTCTCACCATTACACATATTGGATTCCACAAGTCCATAGTTAAAACTCTTTAGTGTGGCCTATCAGTTTAAATACACATAAGGGCTAGGTCAAAAAAATCAATTTGGGGCTCTCTGATATTAAATTAAAATTTATCTGAACATATGAAGGATGAAACTTAAAAAACCTAAATGATAAAAAGTTCACAGTTAAATATTCATTGATATGTCTGTTGCCTTTATCATAAACAATAAATATATCATTAAGAATGCAACTATTTTTGAATCTGCAAGTCAGATGTTATCAAGCAAACTGCAATATATGATCCTCAATCCTTTTAAATATTTAACTCAAAGACCAGTTGGAAAATTCAATAAACTTTAATTTTCCAAATGTTCTCAGAAAGAATTATCAGAAGCATCCTCCTGTTACAAAGCACAGTTGGATAATCCATTTACCTCAAATGAACCTCGTGTGTGCTGTGGGCTGGCAATGAAAGACTCTGATCTCTTATGGACTCGAAGCTCAGGGAGTCAGACAAGGGCTTAGGATGGTCTGGCCTAACCCAGGCCTCCTGAGGGAGCTAAGAACTCCCCCTCCCCTCCCCAGAATCTGTCTATGGTGGCTGGTTGGTCACGTGCTAGTCTAGAAGTTACTATAAAATATTCTCAAGATGAAATGAACATTTGTAATCAGTTGACTTTCAGGAGATTTCCCTTCCATAATATGGGTGGGCCTCATGCAATCAGCCAAAGGCCTTAAGTGCAAAGACTAGGGTTTCCCAAAGAAGGAATTCTGTCTCCAAACAGCAGCATAGAAATTCTGCCTGTGTTTCCAGCCTTTGCACTCAAGCCTGCAACATCAGTTCTCACTTGAATTTTGCTTGTCCTACAGATTTCGGACTTGCCAGAAATCATAATCATGTGAGTCAATTCCTTAAAATAAATATCGCCCCCACCCTTCTCTCTTTCCACATATACATATATTTATATGGAGAGGAGAGGGGAGGGGAGGGGAGGGGAGGGGAGGGGAGGGGAGGGGAGGGGAGGGGAGGGGAGGGGGAGGAGAGGGGAGGGGAGGGAGAGGAGAGAGAGAGAGAGAGAGAGAGAGAGAGAGAGAGAGAGAGAGAGAGAGAGAGAGAGAGAGAGAGAAATGGTTTCTCTGGAGAAGCCCAATACATTGTACACCTTGGATGGCCTCCTCTCTCTTTTCACCTGTCCAGTCCAGCTCACCTCTCAACACCTGGTTTAACCACATCTCCAGGAAGCTCCCCGGACACCTCAGCAACCTTATACTCACAGTCTTTTCCACGCCTGGCGATTTCATGTTGCTTTGAGAACTCTCTTGAATTCCTGATGTAAAATCTAACCACTATGGCTGTTAGCTCACCAGGGAAAGGTACAGAGTCTTACATTTTGCAATCCTACTGGCATGTAGTGTCTGACACACTGTGAACTTTTTATCATTTAGGTTTTTTAAGTTTCATCCTTCATATGTTCAGATAAATTTTAATTTAATATCAGAGAGCCCAAAATTGATTTTTTTTAACCTAGCCCTTATGTGTATTTAAATTGATTTTAAATACATCAGTGATTCCTCATAGACTGGCCTTTTGTTCTGAGAAGGCTGTTGAGTTCACTGAAGTCTGAGGGAGACGGCACCGTGTGAAGGGCTGGTACCTGCTCAGGACACACATCTACCTGGAAGGTCGCAGGATGCTCTCACGTGAGACATAACAAAGAGGCCCTTTTCCATCTACAGAGGAAGACAAACTAACCCCCAGGGTCTCATGCAAAAGGTGTGCCTCAGGTGGTCTGGCCCTGAGTGTGGGCAGGATGCACCTTTAACCAAGCCTCTCTGTGCATGGGATGTATCAGGGGAGGCAACCACACAGGTGAGGAGCTGGTACCACCAGGAGCTGGCACCAGACGAGTGGAAGAATACCAGGAAAGCTGGCGAGGGTCACACACTATAGGCAAACTTACCTCTCTCTGACCCATCTCTGGTGCCCCCTACGATGGTGCCCCAAATTCTGCACTCATATTCAGTAGTTAAGTCCATGGTGAGGCTGGCATTGAAATCTTTGTGGGAGGCCTATCTTAAAAGCAACGTAACTAGCTGAAACCGGTTTTGCTCAGTGGATAGAGTGTCGGCCTGCAGACTGAAAGGTCCCAGGTTCGATTCTGGTCAAGGGCATGTACATTGGTTGTGGGCACATCCCCAGTAGGAGGTGTGCAGGAGGCAACTGATCAATGTTTCTAGCTCTCTATCCCTCTCTCTTCCTCTCTGTAAAAAAATCAATAAAATACATTTAAAAAAAAAAAAAAAAGGAACGTAACTATGCCATGTACGTACTTGCAGCTTCATGTTTCTGGTTTATCTGTGCTTCAGGAAGCTGTTGCCTGCACCTGGATGCCCCAGAGTGACAGAGCTTCCCATGTCACCGGCCCACAAGAGACTCCAGGGCCTCCACGCCATCACTCACCACCAGCCAGCCGGTCCTCAGGAAAAGGACGACCCCAAAAATGTTGATCATGCAGGACGTGAACACGCCATCCCAGGTCCCGAACAGCACGGGCTCCCATACGAACAGCTGCACCTTCCACCAGGGCTCGGGCTGGGCCAGGACCCCCTGGAACAGAGCACAGAGTCAGCTCAGCACCTGGGAGGACCAGGGAGGGGAAGGGCGGGAAGAGAAGTAGATCAGGAGGAGGTAGGAGAGCTCAGCTTTAAAATACTCCATCTTATGCCCACCGAGCAGGCTGGCATGCACACAGACAGCATCTTGAAGGCTGAGTCTGCAAAGGGTCCCTGTTCTCTCCTCACGGCAGCGATTCCTGTACCATGCGGAGCAGAGACTAGTGGTTCAGCAAACACGGTCCCTTTCCTTCTGGCCACTCCGCAGGGAGATGTGGCCTGTGACTGAGTTTGGCCCCGGGAATACAGGTCACTTCTAGGTGAGAGGGACGCTGGTTCCCGCTCAGAGTGGTCATGAGCTCTGGGTAATGGCACTGTCCCTTACAGCCCTCCAGCCCCGGGACAGCAGCCGCCGGCGCCTCCGAATCTTCGGGCAGCCTTACTTCACATCCTTTGCTCCTCTGCTCCTCCTAACACCTCTGTGATGAATTCTGTGTATCAAATTCCCTGTTTAAAATACCTAGAGCTGCCGAAACCAGTTTGGTTCAGTGGATAAGAGTGTCAGCCTGCGGGCTGAAGGGTCCCAGGTTTGATTCTGGTCAAGGGCATGTACCTTGATTGCAGGCACATCCCCAGTGGGAGGTGTGCAAGGGCAACTGACTGATGTTCTCTCTCATCGATGTCTCTAACTCTCTATCCCTCTCCCTTCTTCTCTGTAAAAAATCAATAAAATATATATACATATTTAAAAATAATAATAATAAAATACCTAGGGTGATTTCTGTTTTCCTGACTGAACAGGCTTCTAATACGGCATCCTATGGGCAGTTGTCTAGAATCAGAGGCTAATAAGAAGTTGAACAGTCCCCTTTCTCATTTCTCCAATTTAAAACTAATGAAGGCACTTGCGGAACACTCAAATGGAAAACTCTACTGGGAAGACTAAACCTTGTGGAAATACTAAAATGACCTTAAAACCAGGAGCAACTCACGCCGCGAACTGCTCCCACGGCGGCTTTGTGATTAAATCAGACGTGAGCGGAGTCCTCCGACACCCTCCATGACGGTGACTCTCCCCGGGAAAGCCGGGAACCACTGTGAAGCCGTGTGCAGGGCGTCTGCCTGCTGTGTGCCTGCGACCCATCAGCACAGCGAAAGGGCAGGACATCGAAGGTCGGAGTCACAGCTCGGAGTGGCTGAGAACAATGGCTGTGAGTGATCCAGGCCAGAGGCGGGCAGCTATCCTCGGTCAAAACCAAAGGAGGGGATCCCAGCTCCCCATTCCTCGTCATATCCACATGCTCCCCGGCCAAGGAACCCTCAGGATGTCACCGAAGCCACAGGGCCGGAGGGATAGCCCGCCAGCCCCGACCCCAGCTGGAGCTCCTTCCACCTGTGTGCACTGCTGCTCCTCGTTCCGTCTCTCACAAACCACCGAAGAGGACTCTCCCGAAAGCCGGTCAGTGTGAGCGCAGTGATCGGGACTCCAACCAAGACCCTGCCACCCCGTGCGTGTCCTTGAACAAGCGGTACCGGCACCGAGGGACCCCTGTGCTGAAGGCAGGATTGTTTCCCAGGATCCTAATCTCAGGATTCAGGACGCAGTCCAACTTCCTGTCTCTGCGTGCGCTCCGCTTCCCACCCGGGGCTCATTCCAGGCCGCTCTTCAGGAGACACAGTGATGACAACGGCAACGCCGGCCACACAGAGTCCGCACTGAGAGTGCTTTCAGCTTCCACATCCATCCCTCCTTTGATCCGAACCACACCCTGGAGGGAGGCAGCAGGGAGGAACCAAGGAAAGAGCATCTGCGAGAGGGGACGCCACTGCCCAGACCACAGCGGGCTTTGGATCCCCCGGTCCACGCTGTAAGAGCTGGACTTGGCCCACAGGTCGCTTGCCTCCTTCTCTCCTAAATTGTGATCCTTCCGATTTCAGTGTCTAATAGCCTAGAATTGGCTTAATTGTGAATACATCTGCCTGATCCCTAAATCTCCTATTGTTATTCCTCTTTCATACCAGCCTTTGCATTTCCACGCGGAAGGCTGTTTTGTTTATGTGTTTGTATACCTCAAGTCATTTGAAAAAGCCCTGGCCAGCATGTTCAGTGGTTAGAGCTTTGGCCTGGGCACTGGAAGGTCTTGGGTTCAATTCCTGGTCGAGGGCACGTACCTGGGTTACAGATTCGATCCCCAACCGGGGTCGGGTAGGTGTGGGAGGCAATCAATCCATGTGTCTCTCTCACTCTCCCCCCTTCCCGGCTCCCTTCCATTCTCTCTAGAAATCAATGGAAAAAATATCCTCACTCCCTGGGTGAGAATTTAAAAGAAAATGTTGTGTGAAAAGCTTTTCAGCTCCTAGATCTCACTGGACTAAATCAGCTTTACAGGTGTTTCGCAGACGAATAAGGTAGAAGCTGTAGGAGATGCTTTACCCTGAGGAGAAAAGTGCAAATGGTGTGAATTGGTGGCTCGGCCAGGACAGCTTCCTGCGAGATGTGTCGGGAGTGTGCCTACTCTTTCTAACCAAGTGACAGAAGAATATAAGAGTTCCCAGAGCCTGCTCGTCAGATGCACAGGAGCTGGAGTTTGACACCAAGATTGCAATTGTGATATTCTTAGAGAGAGATACTGATACCAGCCCACAGAGAGAGGGGCGGTGTGTACATGGGAGGGCAGGGGAGAGAAAAAGAGAGAAGAAACAAAAGTACAAAAAAGGGGCAGGCTGAGACAGAAAACCCTAGATTAAAAGGCCAAATAGGTGCCTGGTTGGCGTGGCTCAGTGGGTGAACGTCGACCTGTGAACCAGGAGGTCACTGTTGGATTCCCAGTTAGGGCACAAGTCCAGGTTTCAGTCTTGATCCCCAGTATGGGGGGGGGGGGCTGGGGGAGTCGCCCGCATGCAGGAGGCAACAGGTCCATGATTCTCTCATCATTGATGTTTCTATCCCTTTCTCCCTCTCCATTCCTCTCTGAAATCAATGAAAAAAATATATATTTTTTAAATATGCCATATAGGTAACACAGTGACACCCAGGGATATCTCCCAGCCTCTCCCCCCCCCTCCGCACCCCGCCCCCCCCATAGAAGCAATGCCTCCAGGTGTCAACATGGAAGCCCCAGCTCGGATGCCCATTCATGCCACCTCTCCCGTCTCCATCATGTCCTCCAGCCTCACCACTGCGGGATGCCCCCAAGTTGACCTGTTGGGGGAGCACTATCTAACCACCTCAAACCAGCTACCTTGCATAGTGCCCACGTGGGCCATGTGAGGTATGATCCTGACACCAATTCCAATGTGTGGGGCTACGATTGGTGTCAGAATCATACCACGGCAAGCAATTCTCTGGCACCAGTCAGATGTCCTGCAATTCAACTCCATTCTGCCTCTCTCCTCAGCGATGGTGGCAGATCCCGCCCGTGAAGGGCTCAGTCCTACAAGACGGCATCCGACCTCCTTCCAGCTGCCAGTTGCAAGCCCAGTTGTCACCGGGGCTTCTGACCCCCAGGCGAATGATCGGAGGAACCCCCCGACCCCCTCTTTGGATTCAACTAATTTGTGAGAGGGACTCAGAATTCACAGAAACGTTTTATTTACTAGATCGCCAGTTGATTATAAACGGGTGTAACTCAGGAACCACCAGATGGAAGAGAGGCGCAGGGCAGGGTACGGGGAAAGAATATGGGGCTCCCACACCCTCTGAGCCAACACTCTCCCCATCTCCACCTGTTCACCAACCCGGACGCTCTCCAATCCTCTCCTTTTGAGTCTTTATGGAGGCCTCATTACATACATGTGATTCATAAAATCACTGGCCATTGGTGATTGGTTCAACCTTCAGCCTGTCACCCTCCCCTAAAAGTTCCAACCCTCTCATGACATGGTTGGTTCCCTGGCAACCAGCCTCCAACTGTAGGTGTTTTCCAAAAGTCACCTCATTAACATCAACCAAGCTGTGGTGGGAAGGGGTTTGTTATAAATACCCTGTTTCCCCGAAAATAAGACAGTGTCTTATATTAATTTTTTCTCCCAAAGTTGCGCTAGGTCTTATTTTCAGGGGATGTCTTATCTTTCCATGCGCTAAGTCTTATTTTTGGAGGATGTCTTATTGTCGGGGAAACACGGTATCAACACGCCTTTGTCACTCTTCACCCCTAGAAAGTTCCAAGGGTTTGAGGAGCTCTGTGCCAGGAATGGGGATGAAAATCTAGCATGTAGCTCTTGTTAAAAATCACCGTATCACATCTCACTGGTCCACAAGTCATCCTGCTCTGCCCTGCCAGCTCTCTCCAGCGCCGGCTAGCTCCTGCTCAGACAGGCTGTGGGCAGTACCAAGGGCTGCACAGACTCCCACACCCTACAGGACAGAAGATCAGCTGTACCACACACACACACAGGACTCCAGCCCAGGCCCTCCTGCGGAGCCCCTCTCACCTGAGCATGCCCTCCCCCATACCCAAGGCTCATGGACCTTCCCTTTGCATCTCTTCCCAGTAATTTCCGTCCCCCAGGGCAGGAGGGCAGGAGGGCAGGAGGGCAGGAGGGCAGGGGGGCGAGGCAGCAGGGTGACAGTGGGTGATAGCCGGGCCAGTTCTAGGGTGTCTTGGTAAGACCTAGCAGGGAGGTCTGGTCCCTACGTGAATAGCAAGAGTCCACCTGACAGTCTGTGACACGGACATAGCAGGTCTCGGGCAAAGAGGTGGGAGCAGGATGTGTGCGGGGCCTGGCTTGATGCCTGCTGGCACGCAGGGGTGGGGATGAAGATGAAGGAGAGCAGGAAGCAAAGAGGCCCCTCAGATTGCACACCACACAAGTGCTCAAGGGTCAGGCTCCTCTCTCCCCTGGCAAGGACGAGCCCGGAAGGCTACAGGGCACGGGGCCTTGGAGCCAGACGGTGATCAGACCTCCATGCTGCTCAGGCTAGCAGTTCCTTCCCGAGCTCCCAGCGCAAGAGCCAGGCCCTCCCTCTGAGCCAGGGGCCTGCCCCCCACCCTG